ATGTTGCGGAGTTTTGCATATACCAGACCCGTTGGGAAACGTAGGGCCACACAATTCATCAACTCCCTCAACTCTAAGGCGACGAGCGTATCTGCGACCTCCTAACGAGTCCATTGCAGTAGATTTAACCATGTACGAAATCCGACATCGGAATTTTTTTCGGGGACCCTGCAAGTTAGCTTGACAGCCACCAACCAAATGTATAAGATGGTCTCGCAAATTAGTTTACCTTGATGTGGTTACTCCTGTTAAGGATTCCCAGAGCCATAGAAGGCAGTCGCCCTCCGGATGAAGCATTGCCTAAGTAGCGTGTGTCCTCGTCTCCATTATTTTTTTTTACAGAAAACGTTAACAAGCGGGTGCCCAGTCACTTCATAGAGAACTTCGTCATCTTGGGATCATTTCGAACTATAAGACGTTCCTTCAAAAAGTCCAAATTTGATCACTTTAGGGGCCTGTTTGTGTACGGATTGGTCGACCTACACAGTCATCGCATACGCCCTGCCAACTATGAAGAATGGCACAGGGAAATTCCGCAAGCGTTTGCTCTTCTGCTGTGCCGTTTTTCATCTTAGTCCCAATATTGTATTCCAGGGCCGCATCAGCAATTTGTAGGTGCATTTGCTCAGTGAAAACTAATTTATTTGGAAGGAAAGGGGGTCACGTATTCTATGGATGAAGTTAGCGAATTAGCAAACTAGGGCTGGGTTTCAGAAGGTGAAGGCCCTGGCTTATGCCTACCGGCAACGCGCACATGTTCGCACCTTACAGTGTTCTCCAGGGCGTTGCGCTAGTGGGAAATTGATCTATTTTTGGGGTATTGGTATAAGTCCCGCAGTTACTCTGAAGTAGAATAGCTGAGCAGATCCTGAAGAAGAGTGTGTCTACGTAATAATTCAGACAGCTCTGTCCCATAAAAATCTGAAGGGTTCTGGGCATGCACGCGCGCACCTTATGTGCACTTCATCGTGTTCGAGTATCTAGGGTCTTGCTGACGGTAGTGTACGTTTCTAGAGCAGTGCCTTAATCTGAAGCATGCGGTACGTTATACTTGATAGTATTCTCGGCTACATGAAAGTGTCATGGACGAGGACGACGACTGCCATTAGGCCATACAATCTAAGTGGTTGCTGGCAACCCAAAATGCCGTTCCTTCAGGGTTTGGGCAACAGGTAGTATTAAGGCAATGGGAAATGTGGGAATTAGCACAGGCCAAGAATTTTGCTGAAAGACGGGACCTGGTTTCCTCGTAAAGTTCCAAACCTACTTGTTACGGAATCTCAGACGTCAGACATTAAACCTCCAATACAATTGTCATATACACTTCGGAGGGCTGTATTCCAGTTCCATCGAGACGGTCATTCGGGTCCATCCTGTGATAACTACTTCTTGCATGACACAGGGTTCTAAACGTCTCCTGACCCGTCCTAATAGAAATGGCCTTAACTATCAAATACTATTGGCTAATGGCAATCTTGATTTGGTGCTGAGTGGGCGCTTTGGATTTTTATCCATTCACCTTACGGCTAGTTTTTCTCAGTCTTCATGATTTCAGATATGCATTTTTGCTGCTGTCTGTGAGCTTCGGTGTTCACAGCTTTCGTCCAGAGGCAATCCGGCCCCGCCGTTTTTAAAACGAGAGGATCTTTTTCGGACGCCTTTCAAATCTGTTAATTAAGACGTTTTGAACTGCGCCACTGTCAGATCTCTGATGTTCCATCCCCAGTGTTAGGTTGCCTCTGGTCGCATTAGGGAAAGAGAGGTATAATTATCGACCGTTAGTGCTGAAATAAAGGTATAAATAACATGCTAGTAGTTTCCGGCGCGTCTCTGGGTCAACTCTTCGCCAACTTTTTATGAGGAAGCGGAGGGTGGATAAACAAATGTACCTGCCGGTTAGAGCTGCCTGGCTCGCCGAAGGTATGTCGACCGTCGTGAACGAGGATGTCCACCGCGTGCCCCACAGCAAGGTGGGCGCAGGGACGGTGACTTGCGTGTAAATTAGTTTAGAGAGATTGCAGACTTGCGCTGCATTTACCACAATCTCTCTTCCTACCTGGGGCCGATGTCAAGTGAGAGCCAGGAGCACAGGGATTTTTCACGCGCAAGAATGTAGGCACTGCGCAACGTGTGCAAATTAAGCCCTCAAAATGAAATACAAGGGGATGTGCGAACAGGCCGGAGCAGAGGGCGTTGGCCAACAGCTGAGGGGCTTGCATGTGCGCAGACTGATAGACTGCAGAAGTTACCATAACTACTTCTACCAGAGGGTATAAGTCGCCAGCAATCTGACTTAGTGTGGGGAGGGGGAGAGTGCTGAGAGTAGTCAGATAAAATATAAATGAAAAAAGTCAGAAAGCGGTGAAGTAGCGATTGGGGTTGTTGATGTTGCTGCCAAAATAGACAAAATAGGCTCCTGTAGGCAAGATGCAGGCGGAGGGAGTGAGAGCCCAGGGAGCGAAGTATCACAGCCAGGTGAGGAGACGAAACTAAGCAGAGGGTCTTAGCTGGGCGACTGCCGGTCTTGTCGATTGGCTCCAGCCGTGTAACCAGACGTCGCAGCGCAGGTGCCATCGGTGGAGAAACTGACTGTGGCTGAAGCCGTTGTCCCGGTGGCCGCAGTCAGCACTGTGTCGCACATGTCCGGCAGATTTCGGTAGACAGAGAGCCAATCATTAACCATGCCCCGTACCTGATGATGCGGCGAAGGTTGAAGGCGCAGGCGGGCGACAAAGAGTCCGCGTCTGGTTGTAATCACCTCCAGATGTTCGCGTAGAAGTGTCCCTGGGGAGTGCACCTAGGTAGGAAACAGGAAAAAGAGACGAGTGGATTGGCCTGTTTTTTTTTCTTGGAATAATAGATCCAAAAGCCTGCCAATGGTGGTCTACTCGAAGCCCCTGGGTGGATTCCGCTCCTCTTCAACAGAGTATGTGTTTGTACGCGTAATAAGGACCGGGAAATCATCGATCGCTCTTGACGACGACCATCTCCTGTGATGAAATTAGCCCTAGCGTGCATTCCCTTAGACCTGCACGGGTCGTCCTCACCCGACCCTACGAGTTCCAAACGCATTCGGAGTCATAACTGTAAGCTAATTGAAGACGGAGACACGATCGCTAGGACAAGAGCTTTATTACCCTGACGTTTGGGATTCTTGCTCGAACCCAGCGTCAGAGACAAAAGCAAATGAGGGTAGTTCATGCACAAGGGGCTGCTGTATTTATAGGATGCAGTCACCATGCCATCGTGGCTCCCCCCTTCACCAGGGTTCGTTGCATTCGGTGTGATGATTGTTTGATGGTCGAAATTCTCGCCGTTAATTGCTGTAATTTCATCACGTGTGTTGGATGTTGGTGTGATGATTGCCCAAGCATCTGACCCACCGACCCTGGCGTTAGGAACAGTGTTCACCTGTGCGCTCCCCGCGTGGCTAATTACTCCGCCTAGGCGAAATCTCGTCATGAAATATGGAAGGGGAAGGCCGTTGCAACGACTGAAGTGCAACACCTAAGGCGTCAGGTAATGAAACCGAAAACCCACTGCCACGGCTAGAAACGTCTGGAGTCGTTTATCGGATCTGATGCAGTTGCGGACAAAACAACTACGTCGGAGAAACCGGAAGACAGCTCCGAAAGTGAATGTCCGAACACGCTGCAGCGGTGCGGAGAAATGACGTCAGGTCTCAAGTTGCGGCTCATTCGACGAGATCCGGCCACACATTCAAATTCGACGAGGCCGAAATTCTCGCAAGAGGTGACAACCGCGTGAGCAGGGAGCTACTTGAATCATGGTTAACTGGCCCTCGGTCCATTAACATGTGCAATGAACTTCCCCTTCCACACTCGATGCTGAGACTTCGCCTAGGCGTAGTAATTAGCCACGCGGGGAGCGCACAAGTGAACACTGTTCCCAACTCCAGGGTCGGTGGATCAGATGGTCGAGCAATGATCACACCAACATCCAACGCACGTGATGAAATTGCAGCAATTATCGACTCGAATGTCGGCCATCAAGCAATGATCACACCAAGTGCAACGATCCCGGATGAAGGGGGGAGCCGTAAATGTTCATAGGTATGCGGTAGCATGGCTACTGCATCCTATAAATACTGCGGCCGCATATGCATGAACCACCCTTATTTGCTTTTGTCTCTGATGATGGATTCGAGCAGGAATCCGAAACGTCGGACTGATAAAGCTCTTGCCCCAGCAATCGTGTCTCCTTCTTCAAGACTACTTCCTGCGACTCGTCTCTTCGCTTCTATTGGCACTGTAAGCATATTATCAACAGGCCTTGATGTCAGATGCGGTGATCCATCTATACTCTACCATTCTGGGCCACTCATATCGCCGATAATTAGGACCTTCCGCTTCCAAAACCGCGAAAGATCCACCGCCGCATGAGCGTCTGCGAAAGAATCATGAACTATCAGCTTCATTTATCAGATCGCTGGAGACACGGAAGGTCCCTCCCGCTGAAAATCGCTCCTAGCCTCATGTGGGGCTGTAGTTAACGCGGTGCAGACAGCACTCCTGATGTACACAATACTCGTCGGAGACGGGAGGGAAGACTTGTCTGGCATTATTTAGACTGTCTGCTTCGAACAGTCAGTGTAATGTAGTTTGGACTGCATACAGAGCAGAGGCCTGGTGGATGAAGATGAAAAAGAAGCAATAAACGGCTCCTCAAATCAGTCAGTCATTATTGGCACAATTACGTGGGTTGTCGAATGTTTGTCGCTACTCAGATGCACTGGCAAAGGCTCAAAATCATAATGAGGTGAGTGTGCTCCCTTCTATATAACGACCGTGTAACTTCAAAGGTGATGTGAATCGTCTCAGGTGGTAGCTTGAAGAGCGAAATCTCGAGGTGGCTTGGCGGAGAGCTGGATTCCGCTTCATCTCAAAATCCCGGATATGCTGGAGTTTT